ATACTGGCTTGTTTCCACTCAACATTGATAAAATCCATCAGTCAAAATTGCAAATTTCTAATACATTTGAAACACCTAGATCTGAAACTGAGCCTTCATCATCTCAACAACCAGAATCTATGATAGTGCCATCACCAAATCTAGCACCAGGAACTACACTAACTCAGCCACTCCCCTCTGAATCTACACCAACAACATCTAGCATCAGCATATGTCACATTGCATCCGCTTCAAAGTCATCTCAAAAGTCACCTTATTTGCAAACAACCTTCAATATTGTAGTAACTCCAGTTATTCAAAAGGAAATTCAAAAAGAGGTTACAAAACAACTGCAATCAGCCCTATCACTTGGATCAGCAACAAATGTTTGGATTGGCTTGGATTGCAACAAATGTTTCGTATCCAACACGTTGACACAAATAAAAAAAAAAGTGTAGATGTGTCAAGATTCAAAGGGGAGTGTCTCAACAAACCTGAAATACTTGAAAAGTTGAAAGATACTGAGAGCAAAAAAGCAGCAAAGCAAGCTAAAAAACAACCTAAGCTTAGCCCTAATAGAGAACAGCAAATAAACCAAGCAACATGTCCAACAAAAATATTAGCTGCAAACCAATTCAAGTGTAAAAAGTGCCTAAATGTTTTGGGCGAAACTTCAGCAAGTCAAATTGTGGAATGGTACCAGTGTGAAAATTCAAGCTGCAAGGTTTGGCTATGTCAAACATGCATACCAAAGCGATACGTAAAAGGCACTGAGTTTTACAAAAAGTGCCGCACAAGTAAAAACTCAACTCAACCTCTAGTACCTCTAAACGCCTCAACGTCATCACAAGAATAAAAAAGTTTATTTTATTTGATTGATTTTTTAATTGTTATTATTGATTTTTTTTTTAATTGTTATTATTGATTGCTTTTTTGTTTTTTTAATAAAGTGTTGTTTTAATTACACTTATATTTGCATATTTCATTCTCCCCGATGTCAGTGTAGAATGGAATAAAAATTCAATCAAATAAAGTTTCATAAAAAACTTTACAAAAAAATTGTTAAAATTTTATATATTTAAATACAGCTCAAAACTCTCCACAACTTTCAAAAAAAAAAAGGAAAAATTTTTTTTCCGTAAAAAATTAATAATTAAAATCATTAACTATTCCATTTGACCCCATTTTACTCTACTTATGCATCTTATTTTCAATATTTCAATAATGTATGTTGTAGCCCTTTTTATATTTAGTCTTTTTTTATTATAATTATTATTATTATTTCTTGTCTCGTGTACCTCAGCTTGTCTTATTTACCTCATTTTGTTTTTATCTCCTTTTAATATTCTTTTTGAAATATTTTAAAATTACTTAATAAAAAAAAAAATTTAATTTTTAAATGTTCATTTTTTTAAGTAATTTTAAAAGAATTCAAAAGTAAGATTAAAATTTTGTCACACCCATATGATGAAAAATGGCCTTTTTATGATTTTCCACTTTTTTCAAATCTTTTTGTCACTTAATGAATCAATTGTCTTAATGAATAAATCTATTTTCATATTCACCTTCTTTTTTTTTTTTGTTCCTTATTTTTTTCCCCCTTTTTTGTTCACTTAATAATACTTTGTTTAATAGTTTTAATAAAATTATTTATATTTAATAAAGGTAGCACATCGTCCATCACTAGAAAGATTGATATATGCTTTGATGATCTTCAATGGATCATTACTCAGCAAGATGGACAGTTAGGGATTGCAAATATTTTCATTCGAAGATTCTTGTAATTTATTTTATATTTGAAGTTGTTTAAAATTTTTAATAATTTTCAACTTGCAGTATAATTAATTTTTTAATTGCAATATTTTTTGAATATTTTTATTTGCATTTAATTTTTTTAATATTTTTAATGTTTGTACAATTTAAACTCGACCTAAAAAAATTTTTTAATCGATCGTGCATGCAAACCTTATCTTATGTTCAATCTCATGTATGAATCATATTTTTATTAAAATCTTACTTTTAAACCTTATCTTAAATACTTTTTCATGTTCCAAGTCCTTCACTTTATCCCTGGTACTGCACTTGACTTGTTTCTCTGTGCAGTTGCCTTGGTCATCAAGGTTTGTGTTGCAGAGTTATAGAGTTAAGATAGGGTTGTAACCACAAATAAAGTAATCTTCTTAACTGTAGTGACCTTCTTGGCCTTGGTGAGGTAAATTAACATAATAAAAAAGAAAATAATGTTTAAACCTTATCTAAAATCTCATTTTCTCTACATTAAGCACATTACTTATGTAATAAAATTTGTTTTACAATCTTGGTTTACGAATCATATAAAAATTTGTATATAGTATAAATACATATATATATATATATATATATATATATATATATATATATATATATATATATATATATATATATAAATACCCTTAAATTATGCACAAACTTTTATCTTTAAACTTTGTATACTACTTGTACAGCGTATTTAAATACTAAAATTTTTAAGTTTACTTTCATTTTATTTAAATTTTTAGGTATAATCAGCTCACTTTCACAGGTAATAGCATTGAAAACTTATTTGAAGTTGGACATTTTTCAGTTAAAAACTTGCTTCCTGGTGAACTTTATCGAGAAGCTTTAGTTCCTTATGAAGCAAATATCCGGCGACGGGTTGATAAGACTGTAATGCTTAGAATTTACTGCCGTGTGTCCCCTGCTGTTGCTGGTATTTTAATAAAAGAACACTTTGAAGTTAATGTGTGTCCTATTGCAGTTCGGTTGACTCATAAACTCTTTGTAAATATAGAAGCCTTTTTGTTTCCAAAAACATTACCTGAAGCAAATGATCAACCAATAGATAGTTATCAATCCATACAATTAGGAGTGAGATGTATGTATACTTTATTTAATGTCTACTTATCGGTTTTATTTTTTTTAACTTCAGATTAAATTTTGTTATTGAATTTTAGTGCCAAATGATCAAGTTTTTCATACAAAAGATGGAGTATGGGACTCTACTGAGGTTATATCATGATCACTGTTATTTTTATAATTTGGATGAGTATGCTGAACAAATATATAAGTGAATTCTTTTTTTTATAGAATTTAGCTCCTAAAAAACCTCCACAGCGTCCACCACCTCCACGAAATGTCAATACTAACCTGCGCAAGAATACTTCGTTATCCACTGAGGATTCAGTAGATGGATCCAAAATAAGGAGATCTTGTGATACAAACGACATCAGTACAACATCAGGAGCTCAAAAGGTAATTTTTATTTAGTATTCTTGAATAATATTGAAAATAATTTTATTAAAATTATTCTAAAGTAGACTAAATTAGTTACTATAGATACAAACAATTGTTTTAAATTTTGTTTTAGATTTTAGATATTGTGAATAAAATATATAACTTTGGATGTTTATTATTACTATATATTACTTACAGATCTTTTTTATGGATTCTTTACAAATAAATTTTGTTAAAATTTTAACATATTAAATATTGTAAAACATCAAAGCATATAAAACTGAAGGATTTAACTATTAAAATTTTATGTTAAGGGTCCAAGTGTTAAACGCAGCGCATCCAGTCATTCTGTTTCCTCAGAAGATCGTGATGTAAACACAATGAAAGAAAGAGCTGCAAAAAATCAAACTTTCATTTATGTCAAGATTCCTGAGGTTCCTGTCTGTTTTAGCTACAAAGTATGTGGTATTAAAATATATTTAACTTAGTCAGGTCAGCATTTTTGACTTAGTCAGATCAGTTTTTTAAAAGTATTTTTATATAGACACCTATGCAGGGATTTTGTGCTTTGACTGCAATGCTTGTCTTTGGCAGATGCAGTAGCTGCTTTTGTCCATAACCAACCAACTTACACTTTTGTGTAAGTTGGTTGGTCATTTATGATATTTGTTCATAAACAACCAAAAAATTCAAAACTTAAGACCTCACAAATGACAAAGGATGACATTTTTATGATTGTTTAGGAGTTGATTACGTTCTAATCGGAAAGCAAAAAAGAAAATGGCTAAGTGATATAAGAGTAATACAAAGTTTGTGACAAGAAATCGATGAAAAATTTGAAGAAATGAAAAAATAGTTATATAAGTGCAAAATGTGAAAATTGAAAGAAGATAAAGTATGAACTGTTTTGAGAAAGTGTCAAAATCAGGTCAAAAGGAAATGTAGAAAGTAGGGTGGGGTGGGTTTATATGGATAGAATTTTAGATTTTTTTTTTTAGTTAATAACCACCATAATAACTTTTGTTATTTTTCTTTACATTCAGGGTGTATACAATAAAATCACAATGAGTAAAACATAAATATATTTTAAATAAATAACTTACTAATCTTTTTTTTAACAAGGCCTTTCATATATCCAAGTTACCCTACTGGTGGGGTAATACAGATACTATATTATATTTGATCTATCACCCTTTTCATGAATTTAAAAAGTCAAACTGTATTGGTTTTATCTAACAGTTTTACTTTTTTTACTGATACAGTCTTCTTTTCAGCTAAGAATTATTCTCTTCTCCTTGCAACCTTACGACAACGTTTTGTGATGTTAAAATTTATCCCGTTTTGGCATGGACACGCCCTATGCGTTATTTTATTTATTTTTTGGGCTTTGTGTAAATACAGAATCAATTGCTCTTTGCAGGTTTTTTAAATCATTTTTTTTTCTTAGACTCATCTACTTCCTCATGCTTTGGTTGCATATTCACTATCTTTTTTGTAAGTTTTGATTTGTCAACAGGGTAAAGGCCACTACCATTAAAACAACTTTTCAGGAGTTTGCTATCTATCTTCCTGACAAGAGCTTTTAGTAAAGTTGGAAATACAGACTTGTCAACATCTTTATGTCTACTTTCTCTTAACCAATTTTTAAGGATTTTCTTCTAATGGGATTTCAATGGAGCAAAAAAACCAACATCAAGAGGTTGTAATGCGTGACTTGTGTTCGGAGATAAGCAAAGTAAAATTATATGATTGTCCAGAGCCTTTTTAACAGTAGAATGTATTATATGGCTATTGTGTCCATCACACAAAAGCAACTCAGGCTTTTCATATTTCTTTACATGTATAATAAAACTGTCAATCCAACTTTCAAAAATCCAACCATATAGCATCATAAAGGTGGATGGCTTTGTAGACAACAAAGAAAGGTAGACACTGGCCATTTTCCGACTCACAAAACAGTACAGTATACATTGATTTACCACATGATGAAGCAACGTAATAGGCTGTTTTTGATTTTTTACAAACAAAGATTTTTCCTGCTGTAAAATTTGTGTGTAAACCTGTTTAATCTAAATTAAGTATGCAATGTGAATTTGGTTTAATATCTTCTCATATAACTCAAAAAAATCTGTCAATGTTTTTAGAGAGATCATTAGTTCTTGCTTATGTCAAAAGTTTAGGTTTTCTTTTTCCAAGAATTCCATTCCATCTTTTTTCAAAAGACATGCACCTGTCTTTCCCTGGCTTGTCATCATTGAATCCTATACAACATTTACAGCTTTTTTGCCTGTAAATGTTGTATAGGATTTAACCATCAGTTTAGTATCTTCTCTATCTTGTGGAAAACCTATCCAAGATCTTCAAAGTAACTTGAAAATGTTACCTCTTCCAACTATTTTGATTCGCAACCAATGATATGCTTGGCCTGGGCATATACTTATCAATCATATGTATAAAATTCACATTTGAAGAACAGTATATATATATATATATATATATATATATATATATATATATATATATATATATATATATATATATATGTATATATATATATATATATATATGTATATATATATATATATATATATATATATATATATATATATATATATATATATATATATATATATATATATATATGTATATATATATATATATATATATGTATATATATATATATATATATATATATATATATATATATATATATATATATATATATATATATATATATATATATATATATATATATATATATACATTGTCCTCCAAAACATTTGCAACCAAATAAAAAATTTTCTTTAATACGTTTTAAATTAGAAAAATAGGTTAATATTACATATAAGAAAAAAGATTTGTACATAATAAAACTACTGCAAAATGAATAAAGGTGTTTTTTTGTTTCTATTAGCTATTAGTATTTTAATGCAAAAAATATGTGACTTCCAAAACGTTAGCAACTTTTTTTTATAACTACTCTAAAAAACTCACAGAAAATCATCCGCACGAGAATTATTTTGTGTGGAAATGTCTAAGGGAATTGTAGTGCTGTAATCATTAATACTTATCCAATGAGAATCAACTAATTGTTATTTTTACTTAATTGTTACTTATCCGATGAGAATCAACTAATTGTTATTTTTACTTAATTGTTACTTATCCAATGAGAATCAACCAATTGTTATTTTTTGTCCATAGAAAAGAATGGAGTGTTGTAATCATTACAATATTAATTTGAGATCACGTATTTATATTTACTTTTATTAAAGTTCAAATGTAAATAATAAATGCTCATTAATAAGTATTTATATTATTAATAAATATTCTAATAAATATTTGTATTTATTATTTACTTTTGAGCTTTATAGCAACAAAAAAACCTTTCATTTCTTAATTTATTTCTTAAGAAGAATTGAAAAGCTAGAATTGAATTTGTAAATGCTGATAGTAACTGGGCTATAAATGATTAGAATCTAATGATTAGAAGTATTGTGAAGCGATGAATCAAAGTACAATTTCAAAGGTCCTGATGGCAATTTAAAGGTATGTAAGCTAAAGGTAAACACTTATTTAAGTATGGTGCAATAATCCAATTAAAGTAATGAAATGGCAAGTTCAATCACCTGATCTCAACCCAAAATTATGGTATTAAGTTAAACTTTCCCTAAAACACAAAGGACTCTTCAAAAATCCTGATGAGCTATATAAAGCACGTAGAATGCGATTACACAAGAAAAAAAAATAAACTCATAGAGTCTATGCCGAGAACATGTTCCATGATCCTAAAATGTGCCATTAACTATTGATTTTAGTATTTTTTTAAGTAGTTATAAAAAAGATGCTAATGTTTTGGAAGACCACATTTTTGCATTAAAATAACAATTTAAGCAAAAAAACACGTTTATTCAATTTCAGGTAGTCTTATTATGTACAAATCTTTCTTCATATATATAATATTAATCATTTTTTTCATTTAAATGAAAACATAATTTAAAAAAAAACGGCTGTAATTAGTATTTGAAGTAGATATCAATTATAGTTTTTTCTAAATATTAATTTTGTTTTTTAATCTTGATTTGAAATATATTTTTTAAGGGTGAAAAAGAACGTAATATAGAGGATGCACATGATTTCAACCTTTGTTTGCCCACACTTGAATATCAAAGTCGAACATGGACTTGGCAAGATTTATTTCAAGCAATGAAAAAAGACTATATCAGAATATTAGTACCACAAGTATGTTTTGTTGGTTTTTTCTAGATTTTGTGATTTTCCTAACCATTTTTCTTCTTTTTGCAGTTTTAAAAATTGTATGATATTTAATTTTTTTGCAAATAAAGCGATTTACATAAAAAATTTTGTTACAAACCTTTCTTGACCCTTTAATTCCAAAATAGAAATCTCAACTTTGCTTTTCTAAATCTGGTTAAGCAGATCTGGTTTTATTCTGGTATTATCTAATACCAGATTTAATTCCTAGTAATAATTTAATGCATATTGAGTTTTATTAGAGTTTTATTACTGGCCTCACATGCGATGCTAAATGCAAGATCATGTAATCTTGATATAATGCAATTATCTCAAAAATTTAGTAATGTTTTTTTGCCTCTGAATTCAAAAATCGCATTTGTTTTGGCGTACCATCAATAGTTTTTTATTTTAGTTTTTAGTTTTAAATTTTTTTGATATAAGCACAATTTTTTCAATGTCAGTGTGTTAGTCAATTTAATAATAGTTACATATGTAACTACAATATAAAAGTACTATGTGTTTATTATAAATTATATTACAATATATATTATATATTATGCATAGCACTTTTTTATATATTGTAAATTATTTAAGAAGCAATTCTCTACTTTAAACTTTATCCTCATGATTAAAAGTCCGATTTTGTTTTCTTGAGTGCATAATTTTATCTTTTCTGACTAGAGAAAATAATCTCCCATCATAGCAGTATCCCATCATCCTTGATATTAATTTTTCTTTTTGCAATGTCCTGATAAAATCTTTTACTGTGCTCCTCTTTGATATTGCCCATGTTTTCCAGGAAAAAATCTAGGTGCGAGTGCAAGAAATGAATTTGGACATACAACAACGTTAATGTTGTAATAAGCTTTGCAACCATTTGTTTGTAATTAGGATCTATGCAATTTCCTAGTAAATGGTCTTTACCATAGTTTTGGAAACAAGAGATTAGATTCTTGTAAAGCTTTTCCTCCAAAATCAAACTGTATTAGTTCCACTCTTACTGGCCAAGTAATTTTTGATGATCATATCATCAGCCCTGATGTCTCGTAAGCAATGAATAATTTGTGCATTCTCTCTAGAAGCCAAAATAAGTATAAATCTCTCATTAAATCATCTAGCTCACTCTGATTTGGAAAGTCAGGCTGAAAAACTGCTCTTGATACAAAAGCTTCTTTCATGTCTTTGCTACTGTTACTTGCTGACACTTGAGATGAAATATTCAATGCATCTTCCTTTGTAAAAAAAATTTAAAAACAATATATAGCAACTTCAACATAGACAAACGTTCAAAACTTCCGTAAAAGATAAATGCATAGTAAATAGTTCCTCATGTTTAATTAAATTAAATGTAAGGCTTTTAAAGATTATGATGCTTTTAGAGAGTATAACGCTAATACCATATACAACAATTAAATAATGCTATTTTGCTGTATTAAAATAATACAATGTACTTGTAAATACATTGGTTACTTAAAGCTTTTTTGAATCTTAATTTTTTTTAGATTTTAAAAGAAAAACTACATTTAAAAAGCGCTGGTGTTGATACAAAACCTTCTATTGCACAAACGGAGTAGGTTTTCAAACTCTGTAATTAATCATAATATCTTTCCTTAAATTTTTGAAAAGTCAACTTAATTCTATATTTTATGAATACATATAACTTTCTTGTTTTTTTTAGTGATACGAATAAAGCAAAATTATTGTTGGGAGAAAAAGTAAAAAAAAATTTGAGTTTCTTTTTATATATATATACAATGTATGTATGTATGTATGTATGTATGTATGTATGTATGTATGTATGTATCTTTGTATGTATGTATCAATATATGTTTGTATCTATGTATTAGTTCGTCTCGACACAAAACTTGTGATAGATGAATTTATACATTTTAAAGTTTATTTTTTATTTTTTTAGGAATTTTCTCAGCAGAAAAAGTCTTCTAAAAGGTTATTTGGAAAACTTTTAAAATCAGCAAAATCTGCTTCAGCGGAAAAGATAAACGATCAAGGGTTTTCTTCAAAAACGAATGAAGGTAATAAAATCTTATTAATTGCTGTCGTTGTCGTCGCTGTTGTTGCTACTTTACTTAAGTTATTTTTGTTGTTGTTGTGCCTTCTGTTATTGTTGTTGTTGCAGATGTTTTTTGGTTTGTTGCTGCTTTTTGGTTTGTTGCTCCTGTTTTTTTTTGTTGTTATTTCTGTGTTTTTGTTGTTGTTATTGTTTATAAAAAATTAATTTTTCATGAATTCGATCATTTTTATTGTAGAACAAAAGCAAGTTTTGATGGGAAAAGGCGTGGAACCAAATAATCTTCAACATGCATTCCATAAACTCCGAGATTTTAATTCACAGAAAAATTGATTTTATATATATATATATATATATATATATATATATATATATATATATATATATATATATATATATATATATATATATATATATAGCGTGTAGCATATAAAAAATATTTTCTACGATTGCTTTGATAAAAATTTAAGTTTTAATTTTTACATTTATTGATGTGAATCTTTTTTATAGTATTTCTGTATTTTCTAATGTTATTCTTTTACATTTTTTCGTTGTTATGACGTTACACTTTCGTGATGATTTTTTTGTAGCCTAACCCTTTTTTTGCGTGTGTGGCCTAAAATAAAAAATAGCTATTTACTTTTATTAATGTTATACCTTTAGTTTAGCGGTATTTTGCGTTTATACCATACTTATTTCATTTTTATATCTGATATTTTATCAACGCTTATATCAGAAACTTTTTTTGTTGATTTTTTTTTTATATAGATCAAATTTTTGTACATATATAATTATTTATATAATTTTATTGTAATATAATTTCTTTAAATTTAAAATTTTCTTTGGCTTTTAATGATACTTCTGTAAAATTAAATTAGTTGTCGTTATGTCTGAGCTTAATATTGATTTATGTTGTGATTTTGTTTAAAAATTTATTAAAATTTAGTGGTATTATTCAACTAAAATTTATAATGGCTCAAGGAAAAATGAAAGTCAAGACCAACTTTGAAAGAAAACCAAAAAAGGCTCATAAGCCGCTTGGGCCTAAAAAAGGTATATTTTTCTAGTGATTTCAAAGTCTTTTTTTTTACAGCCGACATTGACTAAAATGGTTTATTTATGATTTTTCATATAGGAGCAAAAGTTATCGCGCCTAAAAAAGCAGTCCGAATAAAAGAAAATAACTTGAAATCGGTAGATTTTAAATCAAAAATTTAAATCAGCCTTGTTAATAACTTAAAATGCATTGCTTTTTTGTTTTTTTAGTATTTATCTTTTTTATAGTAATTATCAGCTATTTCATCTTAAAAATATGTTAAAAAATTAAAGTTTAATTTTTTAACATATTTTTAAGATGAAGTAGTTGATAATTATCAATAAATTGTGCACATTAGAATTATTCGTAGTAACCATTACATTTTTATTATCTATCTTTGTTAATCAGGTTCTACAGAAGTCAATAAATGCATCTATCGAACGAGAATTAGCAAATAAAGCTGGAACAAGAAGTCTGTCAGTTGTCAGAGTCGAATCAACAGATGCCGATGCTAGTGAAAAAGTTGGCAATAAAAAGCTAAATAAAAAAAAATGAGATATAGTAAAATAAATAAACGAAAATAAATAAATAAGTTTACAATGTTTTTATAAAATTTCTTAGTTTATAAACAGCCAAAAAAAAAAAACCTGAAATAAAACATATAATATAATTAACTTATATAATTTAGCCAACGATGTTTCATTTATGTTAAATGGTATGATGGAAACTGTCTATAGTATTAATTGTTTAACATTTTTAATGATTTATTTTAATTTTGGAGTTGTTTGGTTTTCTGTTAGGTTATTAAGTATGCACTACATACTTATACATAAGATTCCTATGTGGTGTCGGCAAAGTGCCAAAGAAGTGGCCTGTTCAATATATTTTGAATTGAAGCACACCCTACAGTTAAAGTACCAGTGTTCAATGCTGCTTTGTAAAAAATCATGTACATTTTTAATCTTCCAGTTGTTCATATAATTGGTCCTATCTTTTCGATTTATATGGCTGCCACACCAAGTAATTTTATACATAAAGATCCTAAAAAAATATTTTTCTTGATAGAATCAATAGCTCCTATCACATCAAGTTAGAAGTTCACAAGTTTTATTTTCTATTCATCTGAAAGAATAGGAAGTTTTTCTTCCTTAACATTATTGTTGTCAACTGAATCTATTAACTTGCTATCCCAATCAACAAAACTAACTTTTAGAGGTTTTCAGAAGCTTTATATATCGGTAGCAATTGTCTGCACATACTCTATTTTTTTCTTAAATGGTTTAAGTTAAAAAAGTGCGTGAGTAACAAATATTTACTAAACTTAATTCCAAAATAAAGCTTTCCATTACACTGAGCATAAACTAAAATTTTATGCTCAGTGTAATGGAAAGCTTTATTTTGGAATTAAATTAAAACAAAAAATATTTATTCTCTAATCAATATATTTACTTGTATACGATATATATTTACTTGTATGATTTAGTGTAGCCTGAGTTGACTCTTTTTAAGTTGACACTTTTTTCCACTATGTAACGTTAACGGTCAAATGAATCAATGATTAAGTTCAACTGACACCTTCCTAAAAGACATTGATTAGAAACTGTTTATGCTGTTTAGATAAACGGTTGATGAAAATATCAACCAATTTATCTATCACATCTCGTGAACTTTAGTGCTTTTTAGTCACTTCAATTCGCTTTATAGCGAATTGAAGTTTTGAAGTGCCTATTACTTTTGCCTTTTTAAAAATAAACTAAAAAACCTCATTCTTTCATTAGATAGTATATTGGGTTATTATTAGTAGTAAAAGTTTAAAACATATTTTGGTCCACTTTTTTATTGTTTATGTACATATCTACGTTTATTAAAGTTTATATTTTTGCTTGAATTCAAAATGGTAGATTGAGTTAACTATTTCATTTAAAGCATCTAACTACATTTGAATTATCTTTTTCTAAGTCCATATTTTGACAACTGAGAAAATCAATGTCAAAGTTTGAGTTTTTTTGCTGCTCAATTCAAAAAACAATTTGGGAATTGAAGTTTTTCCCCAGACTTAAGATTGTTCTGTTGTTCATTCTGTTGTTCAATTTTAATTAAACTAAACTTATAAAAATTAAAAACTTAGTTTTATTATTTTATAAAAGACAGACGTTGTTGTCTCTTCAGACGAAAAGAAGAACCAAAAAAAGAAAACCAAGAAATCTCATAAGCCGTTTGGGTCTAAAAAAGCTGTATTTCTCTAGTGATTTCAAAGCCGCTTTAGCTGGTTTTGACTAAAATGGGTTATTTATGATTTTTTATATAGAGAAAAAAATTATTGCGTCTGAGAAAGCTGCCAGATTAAAATAAAATATTATTATAAAAATGAATTTTTAAATTGGTAGGCTTATGTTATGCTGATATAAAAGGATAAACACTTTCTAATGATGCTGATCAGAAAATGCTTATAATTCTGGACCTGGCTCGTAGTAGAAATGCATAATGACTTCTACTAAAGGGTATCGTATAGTAAACTCATGAAATTATCAAATGAAATTATCTCACATGAAATTATCAAAATTTTGTGGTACGCATGAATTAAACCAAAAAAAAATTATTTATATCAGTCATCGATGAATTTTAGAAGAAAACACGTTATAACACTGGCTAAATCATTTACCCTATGGCCAGCTATGGTTTCATAGATAAGGATGAAAAACCATTCTGTAAGCGAATAGTGACCATTTAGATAATAACTTGAAAGTTTATGTTTGTTTTTATAATATAATTTATATAATAAAATTCGCCCATATTAAGCAATCCTTCCATGTATTCTTTATTTGTAATTTTTCTATAATAAGGTTGGATTAAATTAAGTAGATTCTCTCGCTACTAATATTCGAAAACAATAAAATTTCCAAATATGAAATTTAAAAACTTTATATTTTGGAATTAGATACAAAGAAGCTATGATAAAAAATGTTTTTTTTCCTTAAATTTTTCCAGCAGATATATTGTGTGTATGTATTTGCTTATATAAAAAAATAATTTAAAATCCGTACTTATAAAAACAATTATTTACAGGACTGAAAGACTGGGGCTAGAAGAAGAAAAATTTAGTGTAATCAATATATGCAACATTTTTCTTAAGATTTTTGGAAGTTTTAAAATAGAAAATACTTGACAGTCATCGTCAAAGGTCTACAACTTATCAAACATTACTTGACGCTTAATCTCAGATATATTTGCAAAGCATTTAAACTTAAAACTTTTAATTTTTTTTAGTATTAAGCTCAATTTTCTGGAACTTATTTATCTTTCGAATTTTTACATTTTTAAATTTTCCTTATTTTTTTTTTAAACAAAACGAACTATATTAGCACAGCAAACAGTTCAGGAGCCTGGAGTCATAGCATGCCATGACATGAGCAATCAGCTGACAGGTGACAGCACACAGCCAGATTTCGTTGACAAGTGCCATTTTGCAGTGGACGAAACAAGTACAACTTTTTTGGTTTGTTTCATTTTCTTAAGTCTGGTCCGTGTCAACGTAACGGAAGTTTTTAATTAATTAAAGGAAGTATCCAGAAGTTTCCAGAAGTTTTCAGAAGCATGCTAAAGCTTCCAGAAGTTTTCAGAAGAAGCATATAGAAGCATCCGGAAGCATCCAGAAGTATCCAGAAACATTCAGAAGTATCCAGACGCATCCAAAAGCTTCCAGATGCATCAAAAAGAAGCATCTAGAATCTTCCAGAACAGGTTCACACAGGTTCATTTTACTATATAAGAGACATGTAAACCGACATGTAATTCAGTCAGTATATGGAAATTAATCAGTCAGTATTATTAAGACAGTTTATTGAAGTGAGTTTTATCAAAGTGTTTTATCGAAGAACATCAATACAAGAAGTGAAATACAACAAGTCTTTCATTACATCAATACAGTCCACATCCAACCAAGACGTTGTGTTCCACAGAGCATTATTGTATCATCACAAGGTAAATGTAACACGGTAAGCCTTGAGAAGCGTGAATATTTATTTTTATTATTTTTATGACTTCAAATGTCACAAAAAAGTATTAATGATAAATATCGCGTGAAAAAATGGACAGTATCAAGACTATGTTCCAAATATCGTTCTACGGCGAAGTTGGCAACAGATAACAAAGGTGGAAGACCACATTCCATCACTTCTAGAGAGGATTCTATGTTCGTCAGATCCGTCAAGAAGGATCCCTGGATATCATCAGTCAAGATACAAAAGCAATTAGAGCTACCTGTATCGGACCGAACAATTAGACAACGTTCTGTTGAAACAGGATTGTTTTCTCGACGCCCTTCAAAGAAACCGCTGATTTCACTAAAGAACCAAAAGAAAAGACTCCTGTTTGCTACATCTCATATTGACTGGAATGTGCAGAAATGGCGAACTGTCCTGTTCAATGATGAATCGAAGTTCAACATTATTGGGAGCAATGGCATTTGCCGTGTACGTCGACCGGCCGGAAAACGCCTCGATTTACTCTACTGCCATAAGACCGTGAAGCATGGTGGAGGCAATCTAATGGTTTGGGGTGTTTTTCTGCTAACGGTCTAGGTTCAGTACACCGAATCAATGGAATAATGGACCGTTTTATGTATAAAAAAATCCTGAAAGATGTTATGTTACCTCATGCTAAATGAAATTTGCAAATAAAATGGGTTTTTCAGCAAGACAACAATCCGAAACACACTGCAAAAGTAGTCAAGCAGTGGTTTCAAGACAACCACCTATCGGTGATGGATTGGCCGCCTCAATCTCTGGATCTCAACCCTATCGAGAACCTGTGGGAGATCGTCAACCGCAGAATTAATCGTGAAGGTGTTTATAATAAGGATCAACTGTTTGAACAAATCCAAAAGGCCTGGGCAGCGATTCCAGAAAGTTTCATTGATCATCTGATCGAATCTATGCCTCGAAGATGCAAGGCTGTGATCGACAACAAAAGATTCGCCACGAAATATTGATAGCCAAATACAGGTTGGTCAACATTTTGTGGAGTTGCATTTGTTTTGTCCAGAAGAAAATCAACTTTTTTTTAATACTCTTGATTAATTTATTAATTTTGTGTACAAATAATGAACTTTGTGATGAATAAAACTTGAAGAACGTTGTCTCTAAACAGTTACATAGTTATTTCTCTAAATTGAAAAAATGCAGCACTTTTATATAAAGAAACTAAATTAGCATTATTTGGTTGCACTTGTTTTGCCCGATACTGTATATATATATATATATATATATATATATATATATATATATATATATATATATATATATATATAAATCTTAGCTTTTTGTATGTCATTAGTGTATGTCATTTTCAATAAATTATGGATTTACCTAAAAAATACTTAACTGATTCTAAACTTGAGACTGCAACAACAAAATATTTAACTACCCATAATATCTACAAATGATCACTAAAAAAAGTTTTTTTAAATACATGGAGTGACTTTAGCCCGGTCAATATAACTCCATGTAGTGGGCCAAAAACAACTTTTTTTTTTAAGCCTCAGTTGCAAAAAAGTAAAAAACTACTAGGCTTTCAAAACAAGATCGAATCATTTTTGGCAACAACTTCTGAAATAGGAAAAAAAGTTCAATAAAACATGTTCTAAATTCAATTTTGCATTCTAAGTTATTGTATTTAATTGATGCTTGCAGCTTAAAATGCATTTTTGACTATTTTTGCATTTTTAACCCATAAAATTTACAAAAATTTTAATTTTGAGACTCAAACTTAAGCGGGTCAAATAAAAATAATAACCACTAATTTTTCTTCACAAATGCGTTTTACAAATCAAAAGCCAGGAATGAGGAGGTTTTTGATTCGTTAAAATTATTCATCACCAAAAAAATAACACAATTTTTTATAAAATATAATTTTATTAATTATAACATATAACTTAATAATTAATATAATAACACATTTTTTTATAAAATATAACTTTATTATTAATTATAAAATATAATTTTATAATTTAATAAAAAATAATATAATATTATTAATTTTGATAAAAAGATAAACCATTAAAGTATAAATATTTACAGAAAAAGTTTATAATTTTGATTTTTCATCACCTTGTACAAATACCTGTTTAAATCGCCAGATATCCTAAAAAAAAAGATATTACAAGCAAATATTAATTTATGTCAATATTTTTATATATATTATTTATTGTAATTTTATTAATTATTACGTGTAAGTACGTTTTAGGTATATACCGAAAAGGTACTTACACTAAATAATTTTTTATACATGTATGTACGGAAGGAAATAATAATTTCAGGCCGCAGAATACGTGTCATTATGATTTGTTATATCTATAAATACAATTGCGTATTTTATTTGTTTAAAAGTCTTTTGTAAAAAAACTTTCAAACAAAAGATTTTATTGAAATTTTTATATTTTTTGTATTAGACAAATGTAAAGATGATGAGAAGTACCATAAAAAATCACTTTCTTTTATCCCATTTATTTCCTTAAGGTTATAGAGTTACCTCTTTTAAAGTAATATAAACTTTAAAAAAAATAAAAAGCACTAAATCTTTCATTATACATCTTAAAGTAATAGCTTTTAAAATTCTTAACTTGAAACGATTCTCTTAAGACACGATGTACTCCTTTAAAATAAAAATTTCAAGAAAGAAAAAAAAATACAATAAAAATTTTAACACAATTACTTTATATTATAGTATTTTTAATTTAGCAAAAAGTGGCAATAACAGATTTCAATCATTGAGTATAATCTAAATGCCCATTTATATTAAAACCAATTTATTTGAAGACACTGTAAACAGCCTCTATAGTCTATTCAGCATACGGTTCCAGACAACAATAATTATATTCAAAAGTATGAGATGAGGATCGACAACTACATACACTTCCCGCGTAACTCTTGTTCTGTATTTTAAAATACCTTTGCATACTTACTGTAAGTAAAAAAACAATATTGTGAGGCAACAAACTATACATTATTAAATTAGTTTGAGATGCTAGAACATTCCTCTCTTAGATGTTTTTCCCAGAAGTTTTTGGTATTATCAATATATCTGCATATCCAATGATAACCCCAGATTGAGATGTAATGTTTTTTAAGCCTATTAGTAAATATAGGTCAATGATCTTAAAGTAATCTACCATGTAGTGTTACATAGAAGATGCAATTCAAGTGTTGGAACTAAGTGATTAATTTTCAAGATTTTTACCTAAATTAGTCACGACATAATCACATTTTTAAAATCTTTTATTTGCAGTTGCTTTGCTTAATTTTCAACAAAAAAAACTTACACTAATGATCAAAAGAAGCTTGGAGTTCTTGGAGTACCACTTTCTAGGGTACATTCACTTTCACTCAACAAGTAGGCATTTTACCGGTATGAGAAGACAAACCAAAGATGCACATATATATATATACATATATATATATATATATATATATATATATATATATATATATATATATATATATATATATATATATATATATATATATATATATATATATATATATATATATATATATATATATATATATATATATATATATATATATATACAGTATTGGACAAAACATATGCAACCAACATCAAACAATGCTAAAAAGTGTTCGTAATTTTACAAGTCTTAAAAACGAAACAAACTATACTACCACAGCAAACAGTTCAGGAGTCTGGTTCATAGCATGTCTCAGTTCATAGCATGCCATAATATGAGCAATCAGCTGACAGGTGACAGCACACAGGCAAAATTTCGTTGACAAGTGCCATTTTGCAGCAGACAAAACAAGTGCAACTTTTTTGGTTTGTTTCATTTTCTTAAGTCTGGTAATTCAGTAATTATAATAACATGTAATTCAGTCAGTATATGGAAGTCAATCAGTCAGTCAGCAAGACAACAATCCGAAACACACTGCAAAAGTAGTCAAGCAGTGGTTTCAAGACAACCACCTATTGGTGATGGATTGGCCGCCTCAATCTCTGGATCTCAACCCTATCGAGAACCTGTGGGAGATTGTCGACCGCAGAATTAATCGTGAAGATGTTCATAATAAGGATCAACTGTTTGAACAAATCCAAAAGGCCTGGGCAGCGATTCCAGAAAGTTTCATTGATCACCTGATCGAATCTATGCCTCGAAGATGCAAGGCTGTGATCAACAACAAAAGATTTGCCATGAAATATTGATAGCGAAATACAGGTTGGTCAACATTTTGTGAAGTTGTATTTGTTTTGTCCAGAAGGAAATCAACTTTTTTTTAATACTCTTGATTAATTTATTAATTTTGTGTACAAATAATGAACTTTGTGATGAATAAAACTTGAAGAACGTTGTCTCTAAACAGTTACATAGTTATTTCTCTAAATTGAAAAAATGCAGCACTATTACATAAAGAAACTAAATTAGCATTATTTGGTTGCACTTGTTTTGTCTGATACTGTATATATATATATATATATATATATATATATATATATATATATATATATATATATATATATATATATATATATATATATATATATATATATATATATATTTAAATATATATATATATGTGTGTGTATATATATATATATATATATTTATATATATATAATATATATATATTATATATATATATATAATATATATATATATAATATTTATATATATAATATATATATATATATTTAAATATATATATATATATTTAAATATATATATATATATTTAAATATATATATATATATATATATATATATATATATATATATATATATATATATATATATATATATATATGTATATATATATATATATATATATATATATATATATATATATATATATATATATATATATATATATATATATATATATATATATATATATATATATATATATATATATATATATATATATATTGAAGCTTTTCGCACTTTTTCCAAAACATTACTAGTTTGTTGATATTATAAACAAATAATTGAAAAGCCGGATATAAGAAATATATAATATCTTAAGTGAAAAAGATGATATCGAGATAAGTTCAATTGGAAACTTGTTTCATAAGGCAGCACATTTTTATGGAGCTGATAAATCTGCTGATAGACAAATTATGAATAAATATGAACTTCTGGATCCACAAAGATTCGAAAGCAATCAGGAAAACCACAAAAAACAACATACAGTAAGGATAAAAACCTCACAATACTAAGCAACGAAAAACCCTTTTTGACAGCTATTGATTAAAATGAAACATTTTAATGGAACAAATTATAGTATTTCTGTTACAAAACAAAAAACTGAAACCCCCAAGAAGAATTAACATAACTGCATCTAAAGTTGAGTTGTCAAAACTGGTCAAAGATTTTTTTAGTGATGAAAACAAGTTTATACAGTTCTGATCAGATGGAATCAAGTTTGTTTGACGTCCAATAGGTAAAAAATATGATCCTAAATTGCTTACCATAAAACATGCAGGAGATTATGTTATGCTTTTGGGATGTTTTAGTCGGTATGGTGCTGATCCACTCCATAGATATGCTGGTACTATTAATCAAGAAGTTGATATTCCAATCAATGGGAACATGTTGATCGCCACATATTAGGCATTGAGCTACAAATCCAATTTCTTTGATTTTTCTAAATAGCTTACCTATTTAGAAAAATTAAAGAAATTATGCACTTTATTCTGATTAATATTTGCATTAATTTGGTTGACTTTATACCTCATAGAAGCAAAACTGCTCTTATTTGTAAAGATAGTCGTACAAAATAGTAACGTGATTTTGCATTTCTAATAAATTTTAATCAAATATCGTTGGAAATTTTCTACATTTTAAAATATAAACGCTTTGTCTGCAAATTTTTGAACTCAACAAAAATCTTTATCTTTTTAATCAATTGAAATATGTTGATTAAATTATCAATATTTGTTCAAAACAATGCAGTAAACATAAAAATTTTTCAATGGTGTAAAATATGTTGGCTTTAGTAAAGTATGTGCTGCGATATTGAAAAAAAAAATTTATTTTTTCAAACTTTTTTAACCTGTTCACAATAAAAGGGTTGTATTTAAGTTATATATGAACATATAAACTCTTTTTTAATAATTTAATAATAACAATTTAATCTTATATACCTGCAGATATTTTGAAAGGACTGGTCTCTCTCTATGGTGTTCCATATTTATTTATTATGCCTAAAGCAACTTGATGACATGATGTAGCACCGAAGCTTTCTTTTCATTTCATCAAGCTTTCATTCATCAAGCTTTCATTCAAATTCATTCATCAAGCTTTCACTCAAAACAGCTTGACTAGAACAACAGCTGTTATGACAACAACAGCAGTTATGACAACAACAGCTGTTATGACATTCTGAAGTGTAAGAGCTTGGTCTTTTCTCCAGGAAAAAGATATTTCATCTAAAATTTGAAAAAATTACATCCAGACAGATAATTAACTCTACATTGTACTTAGGCCAAATATTCTCTTTGATTTGATTTTCTACGGAATGATGTATTATTGATACAGATTTTGAATATTCATTTTTTTTTTCCAAACAAACTGCGCTAACAGCTCCTCTCTTATTAATTTAAAACTATAAAAAAAAGAGACCAAAAATGGCAGATTTCAATGTTTCTAAGGATGTTTTTAAAATTCTAAGGTTTTTCACTTTCTTAAAACTGAAATTACTCTACTAATCAACTTCATATTTGTACTGCAGATGAAAAACATTTACCCAAACTGCATTTAGTTTAAAAAGAAACAAAATTAGAGATGGGAAGAAGTCAAACCTGCCAATCTCTATGGTTCACGTCTTTATTGCATTTAGAAATTAATCTTTGACTCTAGTACTTTAATCTTTGCAGGGTGTTGAATTGTATTTTTGCTCCTAAGAACAGTCTTTGTATTTAGTGCATCAAAATATTTGCAGGGGGTTAATTTGTATTTAATTCCTTACATATTACAGAGGTCAAATAGTAAAAAAGATATTACATAGTTCATTTAGTAAAATATAAATAAAAAAGGACACTATCAGCCCTCGGAATTAGGGCAATGCCGACATATGGCAATGCCGACTTAACTGCTGACCTAGAAGTGTCGGCAAAAAACGCCAACCGCATTTCTATGTTTTATGGTAAAACTTTTGTATGAAATTTTTTTTGCTGACCTGATGCCAACCACTAACAGATTAAAGTGCCGACCTCATTATTCCTAATTCCGAGGGCTACATTATTAATACAACTTAAATTCAGCAACTATTATAGAAAAAACACTTACTAACCTCAAAACTAGCAGTTAAATTTGGAAATCGTTTCTTAAAAATATCGTCAATTTCAGTTTTAATAACTTCTTGAATTGTACCAGCAACATCAATAAAATTGCAGTCAGCGGAAGCATAATGACAAGATATGGCCTGAATAAGAGACATTTTCTATATTTTTCTTAAACAAAATTTACATCATCCTGAAATAAATCTTTGTTTGCATTTTATTTTAAGAAATTTTTGTTGGAGATATTTAGATTTTTATATACAAAAAAAAATTAACAAAAGAAAAAAAAAAATTTTAATTAACCTTACGAAAGTGTTGTGTTTTATTTCGCCCAGAACCATGGAATAGTAAGGGATGAAAAAAGACAGTATCACCTGTTTCCATTTCTAAATATTCAAACTCTTTCTTTTTTATTTTATCAAATCCATTTATTCCAAGAAATCCCTTGTTCAATTTTCCTTCCCATTGTGGATATTGATGTGGCAAAAGCTCTTGAGTATGAGTACCAGGCTTAACAATAAGACCACCATTATGACGATTGATATTTTCCATAGCAGTCCAAGCACAGACTATGCGATCTGCAGGTCGTAAAGGAAAATAAAAAAGGTCTTGATGAATCGGATGTCGTGATGATTTTTTGCCACAATCGGGAGGCTAAATTATATGTTATGTTAATTTATTTTTAATTTTTCACTTTACTTTTATATTATTTTTTTAAAAAATCAATTTTATTGTTGGTTTATTATTATTTTGAAAATGTTTATGCATGACATAGTGGGAAAAAAAAAAAAAAAAAGAAACTAACATTGGTAATAATAAAACTTGAAAACAATAAAAACAAAAACTGAAAATTTTACTTTATTGATCAACATGGTATGGATAGCCATAATGCGCTTTCCAACAAAACATTCTGCATATTTCAGTAAACTTGGATTTTTAAAATAATTTGAAAGAACAGAATCAGCTTGAAAATCTTGGATTTTATAAACTAAATGATTTGAATTTTTCAAAGGAGTTTGATTTACATCCCGCATTACAGTCATTTCACCACATGGAACACGCTTGTCGCAAATATCTGAAAATCTAGTTAAATAAATAAAAAAAGGGTACGGTGGGGTAATCTAAGCTTTTTTTAAGGTACTTATGACTTCAAGCGAAATAATATATATTGAAAAAAATCTTAAAATCATAATAAGACAGGAATTCCATAAAAAAATGTTTGTTTATAGTTTTTAAAGTTATTTGAGTAGCATTAATTTGAATCATGGTTAATAGATTATATAATAGGTACAAACCCACATTACCCTGTTTAGCATTATGATTTGTTTAGGCATATAAACCCACATTACCATGTAGGTTTATATGTCTACATATTACTTGAAGTTTACAAAGGATATACCTAATGCCAAAGCCTGCTATTCTCAGGTCATGAAATCATGTTTTTATTTCAAAAATTAGGCTCTCGTGACTTCTGGAGAATCTTTAACAGTATCTATAATAAAGGCAAATCTGTTATTCCACCTCTGTTGTTCAGACTAAAAACATTTTCAAACATCAATTTTTTGGAATTTGCTTCCTTCATCTTGTTTTCATCTTCCTTCATCTTATTTTCCTGATTCAACTAATTTACAATTCTTAAAGTCGTCAGTCTATTATTATCTTGCTCTAAAAACTTCATCTTTTCTCTTCCAGTGACTTCCAACTCTGATAGTGGTTTTGCTTGCAGCCTTGTTGAAAGTAAAGATGTTAAAAATAAAATTCTATTAAGCTATTAAACAATTTTATATATCTGAACCACGTAAAAAATGGTACCAAAATATGTATTTAAAACTACTGTTGTACTATAAGTAACTTTCAATGGTTTAAAAAATGTATGATCAGCATCTTATGAGTGCATGATAAAGGTACAAGTAAAGGTAAAAGTTATAGATTAACTACAAGGTAAAAATGCCTGACCTAAAGGTTGCATTTCATGGGTGCAATGAGATGAAACTTTTAGGGCAAAAGTTATCATAATGGAAGAGTTATTAAAAGGTATCCATTGTTGCAGCAAAAGTTAATGGCCTCAAGTGTTTTGTGACTGTAATGACCACCAAGTTAATTGCTCATTAGTTTTAGATGCATCAGTCATGGTAACAGTGTTAAACATCCAATAAATAAAGTTGAATCAGTCCACCCACTAGAGCTAACTCTAATAATTGAGTCTGAAGGTGCACCAACTGCTGGTAAGTAAAAATGAATAATGGCAGAACATAAGAACTACTTACACTCATTGTACACATAAACATCAAACTTCTCCACTAGTTATTTTAAACATCAAACCTATTCTCCACTAGTTATTTTAAACATCAAACCTATTCTCCACTAGTTATTTTAAACATCAAACCTATTCACTAGTTATTTTAAAAACTTCTCCACTACCACTAACCTATTCTCCACTAGTTATTTTAAAAACTTGTTGTTTGCCTTTAATTAAAATTACTTTCTGAAAAACTGAAAACTGAAGTTCCTCAAATGATTAATTTAAAAAACACTAAATTAATTTCGACTTGCTAACCCCTGCTTAAATAAGTCAAATAAAATTTTATTGCTCTGATATTAAACTTTTTTTATTATACTATTATTTTACTATAGATTCATTTAGAATAAATTCTCTACAAAATAACTATTTTCTTACTTTAATGGCATAAGCATTGACAGTCAAATACTTATGCAACTAAGATGTAATCTAATTCAATGTTAAACTCTAGGGTGCAATGCTGCAAGACTGTGTGTAGCAGTCAATTAAGCTTAAATTGTTGAGAAGCTTATACTGTTATATAAGATTTGAAGTTTAGACTGAGTATTTTTATGATTTAGATCAGCATTATGATAATACATTTTGCTCATCATTGTTAAAAACAGTATTACTAATAACACTTAGTAAATTATATTTTTATTATCTAAAAATTGTTAAATACCTTTCTTCATATCGCTTTAACTCCTCACACGAGACTAAATTCTTTACAACCAAGAAGCCATTTTTTTCATAGAAGTCTCTTTGTTCTTCTGTAAGTAACTTATTTTCCAAGGTAAACTTATAAGCCATGAATTGCAGAGTCTTTTGTTTTAAACTATATCTAATATATTTATGGTTAAGAAATATTTAAGAAAGAATTTTTTCATTCATGTGTTGTGCTTATTTCATTACTGAAAATATTTAAAAAAAGTAATAACAATTACATACTTGTGAAATCTTCATTTAATTTTAATACATAAAAATATGATTTTCTACATGAGTACTTCACTTTGGTCTATACATCAAAAATTAGGTAGTAAATACAGTAACATTTTAATACTTGTAACATATATATATATATATATATATATATATATATATATATATATATATATATATATATATATATATATATATATATATATATATATATATATATATATATATATATATTTGATGAGTTTGATTAAAAAGGCAGCGTATAAACCTTTTTTTTTAAGTATATTTTGATGTTAATATATATTTATATTAACAATATTTTGCTGACCTATAGCGGTCAGCATCATCAGGTCAAATCAATCAGGCGGATTCCACCTGATGATGCTGACCGCTATAGGTCAGGGAAATATTGTAAATATAAATATATATTAACATTAAAATATATTTAAAACAAAAAGTTTATACGCTACCTTTTTAATCACACCCATCAAACATAAATATCGTATAACAAGAAAATGATTTTAAAAGATTTATGTATATATATATATATATATATATATATTTTTTTCTGGAATTAGCTATAAACTTTACGAAATTTTATGTTTTTTATTAATTCTATTAATTTGCTTTCAAATGCACACATTTCAGTAATTTGTTTAGGGTAAATTGGTGTTTTTATTCCATAATTATTATTATAAAAGGTATTTTTCTTACTATTTCGATCATCATTAATAAAGAAAAACGCTTTCCACCTCATTCTTTTTATTAATGCTTCGGTTTTGCTGATTAATTGTTTTTTGTATTCTTTAATTGGTGGAATTGGAATGTTCTTGACAGAATAATTCAAGTTCGTTTTTTCATTTTGCAGACAACTTAAGTAGAGTGCTCAACATACGGAGCAATTTATTGTTGTTTATTATTGTATCTGGTTGAGATACAAATCCTCTTGTTTACTTGAGAGTGATCAATATAATGTAAAAGCAATTTTTACAAAAAAAGTATATATATATGTATACACTTACTAAAATGTATTTTTATAAACATTTGCTCACTTTTATTGCTTACCTTAATCCATACGGCTTTTTTAGAAAAAGAAGAAAAAAAACGAAGAATGATGAATGAAACGATTGCTGCCCCATACCAAACCCTCAGTCGGTGTAGCAGCACTCCACTGCAAGTCAGGCTATTTGTCAGTTGATGTATGTACTGAAGCCCCTAGCAGCAGGCTATTTCAGTATGACATCAGATTGCTTACCTTAGTACGCAATCAGGGTGTTACCCAGGAAAAAATTTCATTCAGCGTTTTTGCGAAATTGGGAATTTAGGTGCGGCTAAATGAAAAAATAAAAAAAAAGGTCCTTACATTCTGCAATTAAATTTTAATCAAAATAAATTTTCTATTTTTGCTGGGAGTAACATTTACATAAGGAATATTTTTCTACTTTATATATGTTTAACTTTAATTAATCAACTTGTTTCATTATGAGCAATCTTCTAAAGTTTTCATTTAAATTGCTTCTTTTCTTTGTTTTTGATATACTGCAGCTGTTTCTCAAAACGCCTTCATTACGTATTTCGAGAAAAGCACAATTAAAAAAATTAAAAAAAGAAAAAAGAAAAATCTGAACTCGAGAATAAACGTCAATAAAAATTTTTAAAAAAAGTTTTTTTTTAACTTTTGAATAAATGATCTTGTTAAGGTTAATGACGCTTGTTAATGACGACACGTTTTTATACATAAAAAAAATTGATCAATTTAATTCATTTTTTCGTCATGCATACTAATTTTTACTAGTCTAGCGCAACACTTTAAATCTGAGACTATATTAATTTTTTTTTTTTTTTACTATGATCTTATAAACCTTTGGGAATTTTAAACCAATTGGGAATACCGCGTTATACACGGTGCCATCAAGCTGGGTAACACCCTGGCAATACTATTTGTATATATATATATATATACATATATACACATATATATATATATATATATATATATATATATATATATATACATATATACAGATATATATATATATATATATATATATATATATATATATATATATATATATATATATATATATATATATATATATATATATATATATATATATATATATATATATATATAGATATATATATATAGATATATATATATATATATATATATAATATATATATATATATATATATATATACATATATATCATGTGTTCAGAAAGTCTATGCATTATATATATTTATAAAAGTAGACATATATATATATATATATGTATATATATATATATATATATATATATATATATATATATATATATATATATAAAAGTAATATATATATATATATATAAAAGTAATATATATATATGTATATATATATAAAAGTAAACTTATATATAAGAAATATATATATATATATAAAAGTAAACTTATTTATAAGACAAAATTAGTCTAGTCAATATATATATATATAAAAGTAAACTTATATATAAGACAAAATTAATGCGGTAGTGGTGTAGTGGTAGAGCGCTCGCTTCATAAACGAGTGGTTCCGAGTTCGATCCCCACCACGTCCCTGGTAGTACCGCGCTCAACTCGTTTCTCCGCGCAGCGGCCTTGTTCGTCAAGGTTCGTGTTTCGGAGTTATAGAGTTGAGAGAGGGTTATAGCCACAAAATAAGTAGCCTCCTCGTCTGTAGTGGCCTTTTCGGCCTTGAGGAGGTGAAGTAAAATAAAAAAAAATTAAAAAAAAAAATTAGTTTATATACAGTAGCGTCCAAAAGTTTGCGGACAGGCAAAAAAATAAGGAATTTTACTTAAATTTCAGCACATATTTCACTAAAGCCAACATATTATATACCAATTAAAAGGTTTCCAAGTTAACAATTATGTTTTGAGCAAAAAAAGAATATTTAATTATCATTTTAAAATTGGTTAACAAAATGGCGATTTTTGATAAGTTCAAAAGTTTGCGGACAAACTAACGCTTTTAACATTTTCACCACAAAATAGCTAATTTGTTGATTTTATAAACAAATACTTTGTGGAAATTATTTCAAAATTTTATATATAAGTGATTGAGATCATGGGATCTAAGAAATGTATTTTATCTCCAGTAAAAAAATTGATCTTGAGATCAGTTCAGAATGGAAACTCGTTTTGTAAAACAGCACAGCTTTATGGAGTTGGTAAGTCTGCTGTTGGACAAATTATGAAGAGATTTGAGCTTACTAGATCTACAAAGAATAAAAATCAATCAGGAAGGCCACGCAAAACAATGCGTTATCAGGATAAAAAGCTTGTAGTATTAAGCAAAGAAAATCCCCGTTTGACAGCTGTCAATTTAAACGTACAAATGAGACGTTTCTATGGAATGAATTGTAGTATTTCTACTATAAAACGTCGTTTACGTCACGCTAATTTGTTTGGAAGACGCCCAGCTAAAAAACCATTAGTTTCCTTGAAAAACCGTAACGTCCGAATGGAATTTGCATCAAAACATCTAAAGTGGAGTAGTCAAAAATGGTCAAAAATTCTTTTTAGTGACGAAAGCAAATTTATGCTGTTTGGATCCAATGGAATCAGGTATGTTCAACGTCCAGTAGGTACTAGGTACAATCCTAAATACCAACTGCCTACCGTAAAACATGGAGGAGGTAATGTAATGGTTTGGGGATGTTTTAGCCAAAATGGAGTTGGTCCTCTCCATAAAATTACCGAGAATATGAATCAAGAAAAGTACAAAGATATATGTAAGACTATTATGTTACCATATGCAAAGGATAAAATGCCTCGAGGATGGATTTACCAACAGGATAACGATCCCAAACATACAGCTAAATCGGTTTTTTTAAAGAGAGTAAAGTTAATGTTTTGAAGTGGCCATCCCAATCACCTGACTTAAACCCCATTGAACATCTATGGGAACATGTTGACCATCAAATGAAAGGAATTAAGCCTACAAATTATGCTGATTTATTTAATAAAATCAAAGAATTATGGGACTTAATTCCCATTAATGTTTGCATTAATTTAGTTGACTCTATGCCTCATAGATGCCAAGCTATTCTTGATTGTAAAGGATATCCTACAAAATACTAATGTGATTTTGCTTTTACAAAAATTTTGATCAAATATTGTTGAAATATTTTAACTATTTTAAAAAATAATGCTTTGTCCGCAAACTTTTGAACTTATCAAAGACCGTTGATTTGTATACCAATTTAAAAATATTATTTAGATAATAATTATTTGTTCAAAACCTAATTGTAAATTTGAAAACCTTCTAATTGGTATATAATATGTTGGCTTTAGTAAAGTATGTGCTGAAATATAATTAAAATTCTTTATTTATTTGCCTGTCCGCAAACTTTTGGACGCTACTGTATGTGATATAATTATATATGTGATAATATTATATTATGCAGAAATAGTTATCAATTTAAAACAATATAAAATTGAATCATGCTTTTAGGTTGAAATCTCAAAATTCAAATTGTTGTATTAATAGCAAGATTTGAGAGTGTAGTTGAGGTCATAAGATATCTAAGTGGGAAAATGCTAAAATACCAGATCTAAGGACAATAACTACAACGTATAACCTTTATCATTAGACCTGATCAGTTGAAGATTGAGATTGAAGCAGATAACCACAAAAAAGCAATGAAAACTAAAAAAACCAGATTAGCAATTTTTTGTTTGACAAGCTAAAGGCATCAGTAACCAACTTTCTGCTAAAGTAAATTTATCCAGAGGGACTATTCATAACATTTCACATTCACAAATATTTCTTAAGTCATATAAAATCTAAATCCACCAGAAATTATATGAGGAAGACATTGAAAAACTGCTGAAAACCTGCTGCCGCTCTTGGAGAACTTTGGAAAACTTTTCATGTGTGCAGTTCATAAGCAGAACTGTTGAATTTGGAGTCATGAAAAACCTTTGAAAGAATATGATTAGCACAATCTGAAATTTAACATTTGGTGCACAATGTCTATAAACTGCATTATAAGACCATATTTTTTTGATGAACCAACTATCAATGGTCAAAATTACCTCTAGATGCTTAAAGAAGTTTTTTATCCAGTACTGGTTAAAATGCACATTGTCAGACAAATTTATTTTTAAAAAGACCAAGCTCCTGCACACTACATTGCCTATGTTAAAGCTTGGTTAAATGAGTTACCAGAAAGATGGATTAGCCGACAATTCCAATTGATTGGGCTGCTTAATTTCCAGATTTGAGACCATGTGACTTTTTTTAATGGGGATATGTTAAATAGAAAGTATTTCAACAAAAAATAATCAATACTGACGATTCGAATCACTGACATTAGAGCCGAGCCATTCAGTCTGATAAGCATCAAAGTCACCAACAACAACAATATTGGCTGATAGATAAAGAGAGAGGGCGTGGTCAACTTGATCAGAAATAGCATCAAAATGAGTGCAGTCTTTAGATAAAAGAGAGTGATATAGAACAAGGAGAAAGGCAATAGAGTGTGCTAATAAAGAGAAAGGCAATAAAGTGGTGCTAAACGAAAGCTCATAAAAGAATAGTCTGTCGATTCAAACCTAGTTTCCCGACAAATGGGTGAATTCTTACAAATGTAAATGCCCAGGCCAATTTGACTATCAGAATCTTTACGAATTAATGGTAGATAACCATCAACACTAAGATCACAAGATGAGACAGCCAAACTCAAATTAGTCTCACAAAGAGCAAGTAGGTCTGGTGAACTTTTCTCAAAGCATAGACAGTGCTCAGTACACTTTTTAATAGCCCAAACAATTGCCTCATTACTATTAATAAACCCTAAGCCGTAAAAAAGGGGTCCAAATGTGTCCTTGATATGCACACCAAAAGTACAAACAAGGGCACTATCCATGCGCAACATGGCACTGTTAATACTTTGATATTTTTCAGCTATTTATGGAATCAGCATCTCTGAGAGCTAATCAGCCTCTCTCAGAACTTATATATTTTGTATCATTTAACTTTTGAAAGCCAAACTTTATTCTGAGTTTTGTTTTTGGAAACCCTAACCTTGAACCTGATAGCGATTAATTATGCCAATTATGATGATAATGGCAACAATGACAATAATGATGTTAAAATGAATTGTAAAAACATTCAAAATAAGTATGGCAACAGCAATTAATTTAGTTTAAGAATTAAGAGAAAACTTATACAAAATTATAAAACATGTATTTTGAATATTTAAAAATATGCAAAATTATAAAATGAGTAAATTTATTGAGCAAAAAAATATAATATAAACACTCAAACATTGTTATAACAAAACAAAATTACAAAAATAAATGGCTCATTTAGAACAAACAATATCAAATTGGATGCTCACTAACAAAATATGAACAAAACAACATAAAATGTCCATTGTTAAAACTTTATCAGTACTAATATATTATTAACATCATTTTAACAAAAAAAAAAAAAAAAAAACATGAAAATGGACAAATTTGTTGAAGACTTAATAACAAGATTGTATTTATTTTAATTCAAAGTTTTTTTTTTTTTTTAAAAAAAAACAAATTTCTTATATACATCCATAAGAAAAGAGTTAGTATAAATATGGTATAAAATCTAAATACAATTAACATAATTTTTTTATTACTCAAAATTCATATTTATTTAAATAATAACTTAACTAAAAACAAAAAAAGAAAAAATAGGAGAAATTTTAAATATGAAAAAGTATTCTTTTCTAATTATCAAATCATTTTCCTTTTTTTTTAAGCAATTAAAACTTTTGTGAAGCATAAAACATAAAATAATCTTTAACATAAAATTAAAAAAAAGTTGTATTAAAAAAAAAAAAATTTATTAAGTCACATAACAATAAATTCTTATAAAACTATGTTTATTTAATAAATAAACATACACTTATGAAATAACATATTATGCATACAAAATTCAAATAAAATAATTTTTAAAACACCACAACTTCTACTTGCAAACGGTTTATGTTATATTTAAGGTTGCTACCAAGTTTGCAGCAAAAATATATAATGCCATCACAATAAAAAAAAAAAGTTTAATAACCTCCATAACCGTTATTTACAAATAGGCGAGGTGGGGGCACAGGAAATGATCTGTTTGATCTTTTTTGAAGAATTTGTGAAAGTTTTTCAGCTTTAATTTTTCGCAAATGATAATGTTTACGTTTCGGAATAAACTGTTCGATAAATTCATCAACATTTATATTCTTATTCAGCAATGCTGAAGATGTTTCCTAAAATTAATAAAAACTTTATATAAGCAAATTCCACCAATAATATCTACTATAAATGAATTTATATATACATTTATATATATATATATATATATATATATATATATATATATATATATATATATATATATATATATATATATATATATATATATATATATATATATATATATATATATATATATATATATATATATATATATATATATATATATATATATATATATATATATATATATATATATATATATATATATATATATATATATATACAGGGGCAATTCTATTTTTAACTTACGTTAAACGCACAACAATTTTATCAAATATTTGCCTATTTAAACAGTAAATTAAATTTTTAGCTATTTTGTATGAAAACTGTTAGTTTAAAAAATAAAATAAGCTAAAAAGTTTTGAGTCTGGCGAAAAGAGGACGAACTGAAAATGAAACTGCACAGTTTAGGAGGATTTTATATATATATATATATATATATATATATATATATATATATATATATATATATATATATATATATATATATATATATATATATATATATATATATATAATCATCTCAAAGTAAAAACCTTTTGCAATAGAATCAAATAAATAAAAATTTAAAAAATTAAACAGTTAATGAACAGATAAAATATTTTTAAACAATATTGCTGTGTTACAAGCTAGCAATATTATTTAAAAACATTAGAAGTATATTATATATTATACTATTTATGGCTTATAATTAAATAATGTAACATATAATATACTTCTAATGTTTTATAAAAAATGCAAAGAATAATATGTAATATACTAATAATGTCAGTAATTAGAAAATAAATAATTAAAAACTTTTAACAATTAAGTTTCAATATTGATAGTTAACAAAAATTTATGTTTAAATGAAATTTTAATTTCTGTAATAAGTTGTAAAATTTACCTCAGATTCAGACTCTTTTTCAGCTGTTGCTGCATGCAATATTGAGAGAGTGCTATCAAGAGATAATTTAGAAGCTAAAAAAAATTGTATTTAAAAGTCATAATAAACTAATCCAACTCTGTTGAAAAAAAATATTTCATGCTAAAAAAATTTAAAGTAAAGATTTAGCTCCATTTTTTTAATCTTTTTTTTTTGCAGCTTTAGTTGATTTAAAAAGATAGTAACAGTTGTTGTAGCAACAGATACATGTCTTTCTGTTAAATCAGAACTTAAAGTTAAACCAGAAGTATCAGGGTTTGAAAAGCAAGTTTCACAAATTTGCAAGGGTTTTTACTACATTTGCTATGTGATAAAACTTGGAGACATTGCAATGTGATGAACTTTTCACATTGCACACTTTTAGTTGAAGCAGAGTATACATGCATTGAATGACATAAATAGGGTCGCGCACAGTGAAGTCTGCATATTGAGTGAAAATAATTAGGACACAAGCAGTAAATTGTACATACTACAACTCAGGGTTTTGGTTTGGGCAGGCACTTTTTAATTAAAAGAAAGTTCTTGATTTAAAAAAAATGATGTTTATAAATTATTATAATCTATAATAGTAACCTATAATTTGTATAAATAAGTTTAATAAATTAATAAACAAAGTGTATTATAAAAATCAAAACTTAAAGGTTATTAAAGGTAAAAATTAAAAAATATAAACTTAAAATATTATTTATATTGTACATTTTCTTTATTATATATCAAAACATTTTCTCAAAAAGAATTTTTGCGCAATGTAGCACTTTTAGAGTCACATGTGAATTACAAATATCATCCGCCAATCAAATATCATATTTGTTGGGTACTCAGATTTTCATAAAACGTCACGGCTGACATCATATTAAAATAAAACAAAGAAGGACTTCTATACAAAAATCAACTGAATGAACTTGATTGATAAATGGCTTGAATTTATTCTGAATAACTTGGTTCAGAAACCAATAAACCACATGACTCTCATACCAATAACTTTGCTGGAATTTTAGCTCAAAACATTTTTAAAATTTTAAATTACATAACACATTTTCACCTCATTTAGGTTGTTCAAAACATGCTATGATGTCATTAAACATGCTATAATGTCATTAAACATGCTATGATGTCATTAAAACTTTGATTTAGTTTTTCTTCAACATTTAACTCAACATTCACTGTTGAGTTAAATGTTGAAGAAAAATTGCAAAAAACATTGCATAAAAAAACACAATTTTCATTAAATTAATAATTTGTTTTATCAAAGTATATTAGTAACCATTACAATTGACAAAAATAATATCTTTGAAACATTAGTTATTGTTTTACAAATTGAATACTTGAGGTTAATACTTGGTACGATGTCTTTTAGCATTTAAGCAATTAGTTAAGTGGGTAGGCTATGAGTGAATGAGCTTTCTTAAATATTCAGGAGTCATAAATTGAGTCCATACCTGTCTAATTTTTTCTTGTAGATTATCCAAAGATGAGGGTCTTAGTTTCTGAACTTTGTTTTTAAGATGATTCCAGCAGTTTTCAATGGGATTGAGATTGGGTGAGTTACCAGGCCAGGGGCCAATGATCTTAACACCATTCTCACGCAACCAACAGCTCACAAGCTTGGCCCTGTGACAGGGTGCTCTGTCAAACTGAAACTTGTAGGTATTTGTGATTTTTATGAATGTTTTAAGTTTTCCTTTAAGCATTTCAAGTTCCAATCTTCCGCTGACCAGTGCTTGTATTTTTTCAGGAAAAGGCAAGGTTTTTTTGCCGGAACATGGCTATTTAAGTTAAATTGTTTGCACAAACGCCTTCTAATAGTCACAACACTTGGTGCAACACCAGTTGAGAATATATCAGATAAAATTTCAGAAGCACTGGCAAAAACATGTGCTTTTGCATAACGATGAATGCAATTATTTGCCCTTTGAGTGGTCACCTTTGGTCGCCCAGTTCTAGCTTTGCTTTTAAATCACCATTTCTTGATATCGCTTTAATGTTTTTTAGTGATGTACCAATATCACTTTTTTGGCCAATGCTGAAGCCGATGGATGGGAAAAAACTGATACCGATGCCGATACCGATGAATTTACTAATTATTAAAAATTTGAAAGTATAAAACCATACAAATTTAAATTGGTACTGGTAAACAAATACTTGGACACAAATCAAAGCCAAACAATTATTTTAAAAGATATTAGAAAAACTCAGTTAAAAAAAAATTTATTTTTTTTCTACTATGAAAAAAAAACTTTCAAAAAAAGAAATACAATTTTAGAGGAACGCTTTTTATTTTGATTAAAAAAAAAAAAAAATCAGTTTAGAATTTATTAGAAATTTATCTTAAGAACAATCATATTCTGTTTAGACATAAATTATTTTTAGATAAATAAATTGCTTTATTTTAGAATTGTTTTGTTTTGTGATGTTCGATCCCCACCACGTCCCTGGTAATACAGCGCTCAACTTGTTTCTACAAGCAGCGGCATTGTTCATCAAGGTTTGTGTTTCTGAGTTATAAAGTTGAGATCTCCAAGCAATCTCCAAGTTTTTCAAAAATTTGAGCCACTGAACTTTATAGCTGGTGAAATTCAGCTAGGCACTTCTTAAACTTCTTAAATGTATGTCTAGACCAAGCATGTGACTATTGAAGTCTATGTGAATCAAAGGATAATTATCACCAACACTGACATCTAAAGATAGATTAACTAAATTTAAATTAGTTTTACAAGGAGTAAGTAGGCCTGGTGAATTTTTCATAAAATAAGATTTCAACAGATAAAAGGATATGCTTGAGTTTTGTATTGTCAATATAACCACAATCACATTTTATAGATTATCAATGAAACAGCAAGTAGATAACTATTAAAGGAAAGATTTGATATGGGAAAAACTACTGGGACTAGAAGTTAAAATTAAATGCAAATTTTTAAATTAGTTTAAAGAAAACAATTAAGCACCAATGTGCAGATTTCTATTGTCAAAAGCAGGTGACATTGTGGTTGTAGCAAACAGACAGATTTCTATTGTCAAAAGCAGACAGATTTCTATTGTCAAATGTATCTGACAGTGTGGTTGTAGCAAATCTAAATAACTAGTTGCATGTAATTATGATTACTTTTGGTAGGTAGGTACAGTTACAAAAAAGGATATTACTAAAGAAGATACTTAAATTAAGTGTAAACACCCTTAAGGTCCATCTCAACACTTCTGGCCACAGAGAGATGTCTGTTGGGTATCATTGCCAAACTTAATTCTAACAATTAATGTCCCAACAATAAGATCAGGGCAAATATACAATATTGAACTGAATGATTATATTACTATAACAAATAAATTTTAAATAAATTTAAGAGTTTGAAAACTTTTTTGATTATTATATTTTTTTTTTTAGTTTCTAATACATTTTTTCCAATTTGTTTATTTATCTTTGTTTGATAAATATGACAAAACAAAGGTAAATAATTCTTTTATGATTCATTGCATATTCCATCAAAACAGGAATTATATTTGGCAAAAGAAATAATGCAAAAAATTTTTTCAAATAATTTTTTCGAAATAGAAAATAACAGTTTTTATTGAAGAAAAAGAAATGACTATGGAAGAAGAACTGGAAAAAGTTATACAAAACTCGGTATCAAGAGAATCACAAATCAGGGATAACCAATTTTTATATTAAAAATATAAAACAAGAATATACATTATTTTGTAATATTGGAAAACGAACCTAAAATTTGGAAAAACTATCTGGTGCTTTTTTGTTTAATCAAGCTAGCATCTACCCATTCTGAGGGAGTATTTTCAATATCAGCTAATTTCTGCACCAAAATCAGATCATGGTTATCTGATAAATCTTTGAATAATGCGCTTGTATTTCTAAAATTGTTTTATTTAGAATTGAATTAAGATTTATAAAAATGACATTAAAACATTATTTTCTATTTTGTTTATATTTAAAATTTTATTGATCGATTATCTGATATCCAGCGGTTTTCAAAAATCTAAAAAACGAATCTAGTGGATATCAAAATACCAGATTTTTAAAAACTCTATAGATGGAAAAACAATATTAACTGCAGCAAAATAATTTAATATTTCATGTACAAGGTTGACTGACAAATTACAGACAACATCAAATACATTTTATAGGTGGTAAAACAATTTTTTTTTAAAACCAAGAAGAAACTTAAAAATTTATAGACTGAAAAAATGTTCAAAAACTGCTTTATATGGCCATTAGAGGGTTTCCTTGCACAATAATGTTGTTAAGATTTACTGCTTATTTTTATGCCAAAAGCTTGTGTTGATATCATTTATTACAGAAGTCTATTCCAAAAAGCTAGCATAATAAGTGTTTGGCATCACTTGATTGGTTTCTCTCATTCTAAAAAAAGCATACTCAGATGCCACTTGGAATTCCTGAAGGGCTCTCTTGAGCAAGAGCAGAAGCATTCTAGATTCTTGATTCACATCAAAGACTACTCAAATTTACATTTTCATCTGTGCCCAGTCTCTCTGCATCTGTGCCCAGTCTCTCTGTAAAGGTAATTGCATTATAGGATCTTGTAAACTTTTCAAATATTAGTTTCACTTTTATGTAATAGCAGTGAAACTAATATGTTAGAAAACTGATTTCTACTCTTAACAAGGCCACAGGAAAGAGAGTTGTTCAGTCAGAAGTCACAAAGTTACTGTCAGATCACAAAGTTACTGTCAGATCACAAAGTTACTGTCAGATTCTTGAATTAACTGTAAAAATGACTGTCAGATCTTGAATTAACTGTAAAAAATTATTACAGTGTTCAGTCCATGAAATTTGAAGTTGTGGATAAAAAAGTTGATAATTTTTGATTTTTAAATTTTTGTTATGAGCATTATAAGTGATTGAATCCTTATAATACCATTGTACAAGTTTCAATTGATGGAGGTAGAGGTTCATTGAAAATAATTGTTAACATTATTGATGCAGATGAAATTGAAGTTAACAGTAATAATATAAAAAGCAGAAGTAAATATCAGAGATCAGACAAATATAAAAAATGTTAGTCGAAGAAGACTTATTCATCTTGATGAAGATCCAGAAATTAGACTGATAAAAAAAATTCCTTTATCATCATTACATATATTTATGGGTTTTATTAATGTTCTCTGTGAGCTAGTTTTTACTCTCTTGGCAAACTTTAATCAGCGGCTGTCCAGACATTCTCAGAAATGGAGAAGGGTTTGATGGAGTGAACTGTAACAAAATATTGGATAATCTTCATGATCTAGAGGTGGCATTCCTAAATGATTGTTGAGAGCTAATACTTATTATTACATGTTTCAAAGATTGTTGTGGATGACTGCTTCTGTGACATCAATCAATCAATCATTTATTTCTGAATTAAGGTTTTACATTCAAGGATGTTTACAAATAGTAAATATACTAATATAAAGTAAACACCTACTAATGTTAATAATATCTAATTAAAATAAATATAATAATAATTTTCACAATAAATAATAACGATAATAAACTTTATAACATTAAATAACGATGTAATATAAATAACGATGTTATAACAATAATAACAATAATAATAATAATAATAACAATAATAACAACAATATTAGTATTAGTAATAATAAAAGTAAAAAGTAGTTATCAATAGTAAATATTAGTAAAAATAATAAAATAACAATAATCAATAAAAAATATAGAAAAGAAATTGTAAAAAAAAAAAAAATATATATATATATATATATATATATATATATATATATATATATATATATATATATATATATATATATATATACATATATTACGACAACAAAAAATGATTATAGAAATTATAAACATTAACTATATTTTTTTAATAAAAAGTATAATAAACTGGTTTTAAAGGTTGAGAATGAATTGAGAGCTTTTAGTTCATAAGGAAGGTTGTTCCAAGTTTTAGTGCTTTGATATTTTATGGATTTATGCCCGTAATTATGAGAGCGGTGTTTAAAGACAGACTGGTTTAAATTACTATCGGAACGAAGGTGATAACAATTGTTGGCACTTTTGGAAAAAAAATCAATGAAAGTTAGGTTATTGTGTTGGTGGTTCCAGACAAATTGACAGTTTAAAAGTTGAATATAGTCACATAGTTTTAATACTTTAGAAGTTAGGTAGAGCACAGTAGGATTAAATTTAATATTCTGAAAATGAATAATTTTTAAAGCCTTGTTTTGGAGGTGGGATAACCTAATAAGAGCTTGTTGATGGGACTGCCCCCATACTTAGCATGCATACCTAAGATGTAAGCCAAAAATAGCATGGTATATGTTCAAGAGTCTCAAAATTAACATAATGGCGAATTTTGGCCAACATACCATTAGATCTACTTAGTTTTATTGCTAAGTCGTTACAGTGGGATAAAAAGGAAAGATTTAAATAAATTTTTAAACCAAGATATTTAATTGAGTTAACAGGTTCAATTTTTTTGCCACTTAATCTAAAGTTCATATGTTTATAGATTTTTGTTTTATTTGATTTAAAGATAATGAGTTCAGTTTTATTAGAGTTTAGAAAAAGTTTGTTGGAGCAAAGCCACTGAACTAGATTGGCAAGATCATGGTTAATGTGTTTGTTAATTTTTTTAAGGGATTTATTAATTAGTATTAGATTAGTATCATCAGCAAAGTGGTAAACAGTAGCAAACTTAATGGATGTATGAAGAACATTAATATAAAGAAGAAAAAGCAGTGCTCCTAATACTTAGACCCAATGTCAAGCATTCTATTGCTAGATTAAAAGATTCATTTAATTACCTTATAGAATTTCAAAAGACTATAATTACACCTTATCCATAACATGAAAGGTCCACAATATGTTAGCCCACATTGTTTCTTTTTGTGAAGAAAATCAATGTGGTCTAGCCAGATTTGCAGAAAAAACTGGAGAAGCATTTCACTCCAAGTTTAAACCAACTTGGGCAAGATACAAAGAAATGTAAGTCACAAAGACCATGGAGAGAGCTTGCAAAAGACAGTTTAAGACTTCTCATCAAGACAAAGATAGTATCTGAAAAATATCAATTTACTTTATAAACGCCATGTAGTAACTTAATTAAATAAAGATATGTCAAAGTATTTAGCTTTATAAAATTTTCTATAAAATTTATCTTCTGCCTGCAAATCATTGAGAGGCTGAATTTGAGTTGACAAAAATCAATATTTGAAAAAAATGTTAAAAGATAAAATAATAAATAAAGATAAAAAATATATAAATTTAGCATAAAGATGTTATAAAAATAAAGTATATTGTGGTGCATCAACTCATCATTTATTATCATAAGTTTTCAAATAAATCTTACAATGTACCATAAAATGCGAGTCTTAGTACATTGTAAGGATCCCAGCACGTGCTTTTTTCTAGGGAATGTGGAGGGAGAGGAGATATAAACAAAAAATTAAAATATATTTGTATATTTTATGCTAGATTTATATTTTATATAAAAAATTTAGCAAACTGAGCATCAAGGCCTCTATTATCAATAATTTAAATACAGTTTTGAACCCCATTTGTGTCAAAATGCACCCCTGGATTTTAAAATTTTTAATTTTCTAATAAAGATCTATATGATGGCATTTTTTTTTTTTAAGTTGGATAAAGTACAACCTGAGGGTCGATTTATGACTCAGTGATGAGAACATCATTGAGTGATAAAATGATTGACACGTGTTTTTTGTGTTCTATCTTGAAAGTTTAGTTATATTATATTTTGTTATACTTATATAGTATATTACACAAAAATGTATATAGGGTCAATTTATGACACAGTGTTAACTTAGTAATAAAATTTTAGCAGTAATATTATTAATATTATTCTAGCATCTTTCTAAATCAACTGACGACAATGGTAAAGACTTTGAAGCACCGTGAAATTTTTTAAGCATTTTCAGACAGTCATTTTATCCTTTAAGTATGGCTTTTCTTTCATTTTTAATGCAATCTAAAACATTTAATTAAGCTTTGTTCATTATTAAATTTAGTTTTTCGCTAGAAAACTGTGAAATTCTTTTATCTTTTTTTGTAAAGATTCTTTAATTTCGTAATTCACATTTAACTGTAGATGCTTTAGGATCATAAAAAGACACATTCAGCAAAATCCATTAAAGATTGAAAAATATGGTAAAGCAATTCCAAGAAATCATCAAAATATAAACTAAAAATAACAGTAATATTTAAATTTAGGGTGTAAGGGTGTAGGGTAGCTGTATACAAAATTAAAAGTTGAACTACTTTGTTTAGAAAATAACTAAATTTAGATAAATTTTTGCGTTTTTATTAAACTTCTAGATACTGACGCTGGATAATAAATGCAGTGGAGAAAAGTAAAAAAAAATAACTTGCTGTAATACAACAACAAGCAACAAAGGTCAAATAAATAGTGCCTCAATAAAGCTAGGAAAATTGTTCAATTGGGATATTGCTCAATTAATAAAACATTTACTCCAATTTGTTTCCTTTAATTTTAGTGTTCTTTTTAACATTAAATTTAATAAACATAAAAAGTTGAAAACTAAAAATAATGTGTAGAAAAATCAAAAATGTTGTAAAATTTATTTTTCATTAAATTCTCTATATTCACACAGTTTTGTTTAAATAATAAAATTTTAAATAAAAAAATGAAAATTTATTTTTCCTAAAATTAAATTATTTTAGGGGCCTCAAAAATGTTTTGGCCTATGGCCCCCAAAAGGCTAAATCCGGCCCTGTTACTAATGAATAATAAATTAGAAACTGGTCTTTAATTTTAAAAGTTTTCAGTATCAATTAATTGGTTTTTACTTAAAGTGATCTTTTTTTAACTTAAAAGTTAAAAACAAATTAGGCTTAACTATGGGATATGTATAGACAATCCATTCTGCTTGATTCTAGCGATAGGTTTACTATTTCAAACCATATATGTATAAATGTTTATAAACTATTCGTTAACAGATATGCTGGAAATGGATCATCAGGCTATATAAGACTTTATTCTCTCTCTCTCTCTCTCTCTCTCTCTCTCTCTCTATTTATATATATATATATATATATATATATATATATATATATATATATATATATATATATATATATATATATATATATATATATATATATATATATATATATATATATATATATATATATATACATATATATATATATATATATATATATATATATATATATATATATATATATATATATATATATATATGTATATATATATATATATATATATATATATATATATATATATGTATATATATATATATATATATATATATATATATATATATATATATATATATCGTGTGTTTGTGTACTATACTTGCCTATTTTTTGATAAATGAAGTCATATTTGTCTCTTAATTCTTTTTGTTCTTTGACCAAAGATAACAAATTCTCCTTCGTTATTTCAAACTCTGGTTGCATGGATGTGTTTGTAACAGCAAGGTCTTTGTTCAGCTGTAATAAATCTTTAAGTTTTCTTCTTAATTTCTTTGTCTACATAATATAAAAAATAAATCTTCTTATAATATCAAAGTTAGTTAATATTAACTCAAATATTATTAAGTAGTTATTACTAATTTTCTATGAAAAGTATTAGTTATAACTAGTTTCCAATTTTTTTATTTTTTACAAAAAAAGTAAGTAAACAAAAACAACTATTATAATATGAAAAAAAACTTCTACCCTTAATATATTATAAGCTACAGTGAGAAGCTGGCTGTTTTGATCCTTTTTGAAACATCCGCAATGTAAAAGTATTTAATAAGTAGTTACAAGGTATTTAGGCACTGTAAATTAGACAAGAAGGTGGATAAAACTTCTTAGTTTTAAAATATTTATTATTTCTACTTTATGAGTAAGTATAAGAAGTTGGTAGATAGTAGTAACTTTCAATAAAGTAATTATTTCCCATAATTGCTTAAAAAAAATTCAAAAACAAACTATACTAAAATATAAGTTATTAAAACTATACAAAACCTGTTCAGCATCTTGAATAAGCTCATTTACTTTATCTTCATTATCTAAAACTTGTTGTAATTCTTCTTTGGTGGCATTATTCATTAAAATCATTAAATTTTTAACTATTTCTTCCATATCATTACTTTCTTCAGTTGCCAACGACGACTGTATCATATAAGATGTCTGCTCATACATATAAGTATTTGAATGCATATTACCATTGCTGACTGATGGGTAAAAAGGCTGTGGCATTGGCATTTCTTTAAATTCAGGATACTGAAAAGGCAATGCCATTTCTTTAAATATGTCTTTTTACAATCTAAAAATATTGGTTTAATTATCGTTTGCAACAAAAAAGTATTAGGATAATATTTTTTACGAACTGTGTGTACAATAAGAAAAACAATTATAAAATAGTTTGTAAACTAACTGCAGTGTAGTTTTTTTATATATTGTTTTTAAATTCTTTTTATAAAGTACATAAAACTATAATAACACCTGTTAATACGTGTAATCTACACGTATAAATACGTATAAACATAAACCAAAAACCAAAAATTTAAATATAAAGTAAACCAAAAAGCTCTGAGTATTTTTCAATGTTTACATTTGCTCTCCTTTTCTTTGCTTCAAATAAAATGAAAAAAACAAAGAAAGTTTTTTTACGCAAATTGTGTATTATGAAAAATAGACCGTTTTCACTTTTTTTGTTTGCATAGATATAATGTATCCATATAAATAATTTTTCAAACTATTCTTTTAAATTAATAGACCATACGGTGAATAAGTATTATATATAAACAAAGGTTGTTAAAAAACTTGTGGAGGTTTATTTAGTACATGTTATTTTAGCAACATGTTTAAAAAGGAAAAAACTGAATTTTTTTTTTGAATATTTAAATAAATTTCGTAAATTTAGTCTATTGCTATAAAAACTATTGTCAATAAATTAAAAATATTTTTTTTTAATTAGACTTTAACTAGAAAGGCATTACGCGCTTTACGCAATTATAAATTGCTAAAATTCCAATTTTTTTTTTTTTTTTTTTTTTTTTAATTTAATTTTGCCGTAGAAAGTTACAATTTATAAAATAACATAAATAATAAAACAAATGGCTGGAGCAAGAAGAAGACTCCAGTTTGTCATGATAAATTGTTTGTGATAAAATTTGTAAAAATGTGAAAAACTACGTTTTACAATTGATATAACTGTTTATATATAAATTCGTTTAGTAAAATAAATTTAGAACAAGTAAAAGTTAAAACAAATAAAAGAAATAAATTGTGCTAGTTTATTTTTTTACTAAAAAAGATAAAGAAAATTTAAGTCCGTAGATAATAAAAAACGCTTTGATTCAGATTTGAACTGTTCAAGTGTATTTCTTTTGATAGTAACAATCTGGGGAAAAATTTTCCACAAATAAGGTCCGCGGTGTTGGTTGAGTATGAATTTAACTTTAATGTAAATTTTGGGATGACAAAGTTGTTACATGAGAATCTAGTAGGGTATTTATGACTTATTTCGCTAAAATAGTGTTGAAATATCGGCGGATAGAGTCCATTTTTTATTTTGTACATAAACTGTAAAACAAGATGTATGTTAATTTTGTATATATTCAATGCTCCAAGTTTGCATAAGAGAGGTTCACTAGACGCTTTTTTACTTACTCCGAAGACAATTCTACAGGCATGTTTTTGTTTACTGTAGAGTTTTTTAAGCTTAGTACAGCTTGTGCTTGCCCAGGCCATGTTACCATAGCTTAGATGACTATGTATTAATGAAAAGTATAAACTTCTTAAGGAATCGATATTTAGGAAAGGTTTTGCTTTATACATTAATGAAATATTTCTTGAGAGCTTTCTCTCTAAAGTGTTTATATGGAGCTTCCACGACAAATTTTCATCCAAGACCACACCTAGAAAGTCTATAAAATTTTCTCTTTTTATATTAGTATTATTTATTTTAAGATCAGGTAGTTTAAGAGGAATATTTTCGTTTTTATTTGGTTTATGAAATAGGATGAACTTGGTTTTTTTGACATTCAAAGAGAGTTTCTTACACCTAAACCACTCGTTTATTTTATGTAATTCTTTGTTAACTATGTTAAAAAGTGTCCTAATGTCTCTATGCGAATAAAACAAATTGGAGTCATCCGCAAACAAGATTAAATTTAATAAGTTTGATGTTGAATTTAAATCATTTATATAGAGTAAAAATAATAATGGTCCCAAGATCGAGCCTTGGGGAACCCCGCAAGTTATGGCGCTATTTGTTGTTTTTGTTGTTTCATGCTGAATATATTGCTTTCGGTTTGATAAATAATCTTTAAACCAAAGTAAGTTATTATTTTTTACTCCATACACTTCGAGTTTTTTTAGAAGAATGTCGTGATTTACGGTATCAAAAGCTTTAGAAAGATCAATAAAAACTCCTAGCGTAAAGCAATTATTACTAAAAGCATTAGATATTTGGTTAACTAGCTCAATTAGAGCATGGTCGGTTGAGTGGTTTTTTTTAAATCCAAATTGTTTACCGTATAAAAAATTGTTTTCCGTCAAATAATTGTAAAGTCTATTATACATGACGCGTTCTTGTAATTTGTAAAAACATGGTAGAACTGATATAGGTCTATAATTATTAGTATCAAAATCATCTCGAGATTTAAAAATAGGGGTGACTCGATCAATTTTTAGTTTATCCGGGACAATGCCTGATTTTAGCGAAAGATCGAAGATGTGGTGCAATGATGGTTCAATGATATCAAATACTGATTTTACGACAAAGCTACTGATATTATCAAAGCCCGCACTTTTGTTGTTTTTTAGATTGTTTAAAGCGGATCGCAATTCATTAGAATCTAGATGTGTTTCTTTCATAATCTTTTTTGTGGTAAGGTTCTTAATCAAGTAAGAATGAAATGCTGCAGAATTCGACGGAATTTCTGCTGCTAAATTGTGATCCACATAAAGAAAAAAGCTATTTAGATATTCAGCTATTATTATCTTATCACTGACTAATTTACCATCAATTAAAAGCTTTTTCGGGAGATTGCTTTTTGTACAGTTATTATTACCGATTATCTCTTTAATCGAATTCCATGTTTTCTTAGCATTGCCATGGTTTTTTTTAACAAATTTGAATAATAAAGCTTTTTTGAGTATTGTTTTGTTTTTTCAAACAAGTTTTTATAATTTTTATAAGTTATTTCATTTTTATAAGTTTTATTTTTTAGGAATTTGTCGTAGAGTTTTTGTTTTTTTCTTGAGGATTTGATTAAACCTTTAGACATCCAAGGAGTTAGAAGTGACTTTTTGTTTATAACAACAGTTTTAACTGGAAACGCTTTTTTATAATATTTACTATTAATTATCAGACAAAACTAAAATTGGTACTTTCTAAACAACATAGACGCTGCTAGGAAAGTATTTTTAACAATAAAAGTTATTTGTATTCGTTTTTTAAACAGATTTGAATTAAAAATTAAAAGTTTTAATAATAAGTTATGTCTTAAAAATCTATTAACTGTCATCAATCTAAACTCCAAGATAAATAAAAAATGAAATTATTTTATGTCATATGACACAAACAGTTTAAGTATCTGCTCTTCTGGTAAGCGTCGTCATCGTGCATGATTCATTAAATTTGCGTGATACCAACGTGCATGTTTAACGATCATATACACATTTTAATACTAACGGTGCTCAACAAAACGTACGGTGTTACATTTACCACTGTTAGTATTAAGGTTAGTTTTTATGGTGATACACGCTCAAAAATATCACTTTTTAAAAATATCTTTTTATATTTCAAAACCAAGTTTTACAATTCTATTTTGTTTAATATCATTTTTTGAATGGTCAATTTCAGTTTCGACGATAAATTTTTTAATTTTTCACTATATAATTTTTAAGGGGGTATGCCACTTTAAGGTTAGGCTAACAGGTTGATCGTAAAGCAACTCTATGTCGATTATAGCTGACATATAAAAAAATTGCCAATTTTTTTAAATATACAAAACAGTTTTATGTAAAAAATACATAATTTTCTTGATAAGTTTAAATAAACAGTTGAATATTTTAATAGGGTGAGTGGGTGAGTAAAGTAGAGTGAAACGCAGTAAAATTACCCAAAAACTCGAATTAGGAAAGGTCCTTAATTTACTGTTATTTCATTTAAACAATGAGATTGTTTTCCATCTATTTACCAGACATTGCTTTTTCTCCCTGCGTGTAGTAAAACTGCATCTTCGAAAAATACCCCAAAAATGTATTTTTTGCTCACAGCCTATTAAATCAAGTAAGACCTCAATAGCGCGTTTGACAATTTTTCAAATATTTTTCAAAATGTTTATGACAATGTCTGCCCAAAATTAGCCACTGAAATAAAAAAACAAATGACTTTAAAACCCATGTATAACAAATAATTTGATAAAACCATCACAAAAAAAAAAACAAAAGCTTTATATAAAATTTCTATAATCTAAAAAGGAAAATGACGAAAATGCGTACAATTCATATAAAAAGTTTTATCAAAATAACTTAAAACAAGCTAAAATAAAGTACTATTCTAACCAGCTGGATAAAAATAAGAAGAGGTTTATATGAAAAGTTTTCGAACAATTAAGTTTTTAAGCATTTTAGTATTTAAATACTAAAAATTTTAAAATACTTAAATAAACTTTTTTACATACATATATTAGTATTTTTGTTCATCTAATTTTATGATTTTTATCATTAAATAAATTTCAAAGTTAAAAAACTATCGATTTAAATCGATAGCTTTTAAATTAAAAAGTTTTTGAAAGCTCGATAACTTTTGAAAGCTCGATAACTTTTAATTGAGTAACTTGGTTGGCTCATCGTTTTATGTAGAATAGAATGTTGGTTAAAAAAAAACTTTTGTTACATTATTTTACTTTAATTAATTTTATTTAAATAAGTAACAAAGACATTTAGGGGGCAGAGTCTATGATGGATCCAGGGGGAGTTGAGGGTATGCATAACTAGAATCTGAAAGTCCTAAAATATCTTAGAAATTGAGGACCATTTTTTTTTTTTTTTAGGAGACGCAAATGTGGTACAAAATACAACATCCCTCTCTCCCCCACTGCGCAGAGTTAAATTCTTTCACGAGAGGGCAGCTACTAAATTTAATCGGCACATTTAAATATCTAATTTAACAGTTATTTAAATAAAAAATATATTTAAATAAAAAAATTAATTTTTTTTTAAATTTACAAATACAAAATTTAAGTAAATTTTTTATTTGTAAATTTAAAAAAAAAAACAATTTTTGTATTTATAAATATTTATATTATTATTAAGTATTTATAAATATTAAGAGTTAATAATGTTAAAATATTCATGAGCAGCCATGGCGCAATGGTGGCGCGTTTGCCTTAGAAACAAATGATCCGTGGTTCAAACCCCACCTCTGGAGAAGTTTTGTGACATCGGTTAAGAAAAAGGCGTGAACTTCCATTTAAATGCTCATCCGCGGTGCTCTGTGATAAGACCGTAAGGACTTCTTGGAGCACCTAAATGAAAAACAGATTTTCTACTTTAATGTTTTACGCTCTCACGTTTGGGGGCAGGGGAGGCTAAGATTTTAGGGTTTCTTGTTCCCATTCTCCTATCAGAGT